TTCTTGATCGTTTCTAATGTTTAACTATCTAAAAACACCCCTAAACATCACAGGATCTTTCCTATCACAAATCACAAACTTGAATCCATAAATTTCAAATTCAAGAAAATTTAAGAGCCAAGTCTAGAGATTTCTTAGAGTCCTTTCAAAAATCTTTTGCAAATGCTTTAACTTGTTTTAAGACTTGAGTTTTGAGTAAAGAGTAAAGAGTGAAGTTCCTTTCTTCAAAAGCGTATATGGGGACTATGTATTCCCAAAGAGTAAATGTTTTCACATTTAAACAAGAAAGGAAACACCGATTTCCAAAAGAGCCTTTGATCTAGTTTTCAGTAAAGATTAAATGCTTTCACAGTTAAGCAAGAGTGGAAATACTAATTTCCAAGAGAGCCGTTGGGCTAGTTTTGAGTAATTATCTCAAACCACAGAGTTATGTTTTTAAACGTATGAGCTAGTATATTTTGGGAGTAGTATTGAGCACCGATATTGGGGAAAGTTCAGACAACTCCCAACTCCCATAAACCATGTAGCCGTCATGGGTTTAAGAGGTTCATACATTTTAGATGATTCCTTAGTGCTTTTTAGCACAGACTAGTGGATCCACTTAGTAGTTAGGTTCTATGTCCCTAGAAAGGTATAGGATGGCCCTGACAGCGTGAGGCAAAACGTTGTATCATCACATAGCTCTTAAGTGATGGTTGTCGGTTAGAGAAACTTCCACAAAAGTATTTTGTATTCTTATATACACAAAAGTAAATTGTGTTTATATATACATTCCAAAGTTTATATTGTATCTTTGCATACATACAGAGTTACTATTGTATTTCTAAATACACAGAGTTGTTATCCATGTTTTAAAAGCTTTTCTCTATACTGCATTTACATTATTGCTTTATATTGAAATGAGTTGAGTTGAGTTGAGACCAGGTATGTTCCTTCAGTTCCTTTAGATCTTATGTCTTGTTTTAGTATTCCCCTTGCATGCTCGTACATTCAATGTATTGATGCCAGTTGGCTTTCATCATTTTATGATGCAGATACAGGTAACCAGGATCAATATCCAGCACATTGTTGATTCTAGTTGAGCTTCAGAGTTGTTGGTGGGCCTCCTTGCTTCCGAAAGGACCCCTTTTTCATTACTTTATCATTTTAGTTCATTAGGATGTCGTGGGTCTTGTCCCGACTTCCATCTCAGTTGTTAGAGGCTTCGTAGATTGTTAGTTGATGTTAGTTCTCGAGTCTTTCCATTACTGTTTCGATGTTTGAGACTTGAGTGCCATTTTTTCTAGTGAATGTACCTTTATACATTCTAAGCTATTTATTGAGATTTCAATTTACTTTTATAGTATTTTTATCATGAGTAAGTCTTCTGCTAAGTAGTAAGCCAGGACAAAGGTTTGCTTGGGGCCAACATTGGTTCTTGAGTGCTGATGCTTATCGTGACCAACGACACTAACCTACAGTAGGAATGTCTACGATTGTCGATAATATAGTAACCCAACCAAGGGTTGGGGGGGTATCCCAAAGGAGTGGTTTTGAGAATTAGTAGAAAAATAAAATTAAGTTCAAACTAGTCGTAGCTAAAGACATTAACGATTAAGAACATTGTAAATTAAAAGGGGTGACACAAAGGTGCCAAATATCAAATGGGGGTTTTGTCACAAGTAGTAAAAAAACAATAAAAATAATAAGAAGATCAAGTATAGGGACAAGTTCTTGGGGTGTGACCGCAATACAAGTTGAGATAAATCGTTGGGTACATGCTTTCAATAGGAAATTTTGCAAGATAATAGTGACTAGGCTAAGATTTAGATGGAAATAAGTTCCCTCTCGGGCAACTTACCCCGTTTCAAATGCGTTCCTCTCGGACACCCATTTGCCGCATGAAGGCCAGCCTATGCCTTACCCCTCTCACTCTCTCGAGCTGAGTGTTAGGATATGGGACTAGGGCTCACCCTCTCGGGCTGAACCTCATGTCGATCCATTCTTTAGGCCATTAGTCTAGCGGTCTTGGTTTCGCGACCTCCCTCTAGGGCAAGCCGAAAACACATGGGTGGTTTTGTATTTGCAACTACAAACCCATTAAGTTAAACCACAACCACTAAGTGAAATCACCATTAAAACACATCTATCCTATAAGCATTTAAGACCCAACAACAATATCAACACATATTTGCTAAATCACACCCCAAGAATGGGGGTTTTTTAGCCACACATCAAGAAATAATAAAATACACCTAAAATGATACTAAAATAAAATGGGTATGAGAAATTAAACCTTAATTTAAGCAATGGAATAAGAATGGAGAAGATCCACTTCCAACTTGGGGAAGATGAAATCCTTCATTTTTCAAGTCTCCCAAAAACCCTCTCCAAACTTGAGAGAAAATATCCCAAAAAGTACTATTCTATTCTGGAAATTAAAATAAATGTTCGACTCCTAAAAATTAATAACAAGTTTAGTATTTATAGACTTCATAAAATAGTGCTGGCGGATCTTTCAGCAAGGTTAGTCAGAATCGCCGATTAACTCGACGATTCGCCCTTTGGTGTAGTTCGTCGCCGTCTTGCACTAGCCTTCAACTTCATCGTGCTCTATGTCATTGGGCGACCTAGTACTGCTTCGTAGAATTATTCGGCAAAACTCCGACTGCTCCTTTCATCGCCTTTTTGATCTTGCTCCTTCAAGGCTTCACGTACTGGAACAAAGGGCGGAGTGCGTCCGTTCGGCGAATTGCCAAGCGTGCTTGGCGATGCATTGGCTTCAACTTCTTCGTTCTTTTCAGCCCTTTCGTTCCTTTTTGCGCCTAAGTGTCCATGCTTCCACTAAAACTTCAAATACCTGAAACTTAAGAGTTTTCATCAGATATTAAGACAAAATAAGCATTTGAGGACACTATTCCTATCAAAATAAAGCCCTAAATGAGTCCAATTTGTGGACTCATCAACACTCCCAACTTAAACTTTTGCTTGTCCTCAAGCAAACTCAAGTTCAGCCATTTAACAAGGTGTCTCAAATAGTGATACACAAGACTAAGTAATGAATGCACACAATAAGACTCAAATTACTCATGCAAAGATCAATTGTGTACTCAAAGATTCAAGTTATAACACACCATTACCAAAGATTTTCATGCTCGCAATACTTGCTACTTGTGCAATCAAGCTCAACAGGAAGTATCTAAATGCCCTCACATAAAGAATGATTCCATATTCACACACAACGGTTAATCAATTCAAGATCAAGAATCAGATGCAACGCTCAAATTCAAAAAGAGGAACACAATGCATGTTTTTACCCATAGTTTTGCCCTTATTTTCCAATCGACTTTCGATTCGTCTTACTCAAGATCAAAAAGGTCTTTCTAAGGCTTGTAATGGGGATGAGTGCAAAGGTATGGTCATTTAGGCTTAGTGACTTTTTCCTCGTGAGATGTGGTATTCCCAAGGCATTCCCTTCTTTTCCTTTATAAATTCTTTTTCTAGTGCTTCTAAATCATCTTTTTATTCACCTCCATGGATTGCTTGGAAACCGATTTCCTTTGTACTTTATTGCACACATATGTTTTTTTTTTGAAGGGTTTCCATTGTTCTGCAACACCAGGGGTTAAGGGGGACTTTTCTTGCACTTCTTAACTTCTCCTTTTCCTTTTTACCACACCCCCAACTTAGGCTTTTGGCCTAAGTTGGCTATTCGCTAAACCACAAATCAAGAGGATTATATGTAGTGGGTCAAGTAAGGTCTAGGGTTCATCAAGGTTCTTTCAAAGAAAGATAAGGCTCAAAGGGTGTTCAAAAGAGTTTCACACGCTCACAGGTAGGCCACAAAAGAGGTATATGTCAAATTTGGCTCACACTCTTTAAAGTTGCCTAAGATCATTTCAAGAGCACACCTTTCTAAATCAATCAGACTAACAGAGTAAATTCTAGGTTTATTCATGCAAAGTTCAAGGCAAGTTAATCACACAGGGCATAGACACTTAAGTCAAACAAGACCAAACACTTTTGCTAGTTTGCAACGGTCATTACAAGAGAATCAATTCGATAAATGGCTAATCACAACGAGATGCAAAAAGTTCACATATTGTCTATGCAACTTCATTTGGCCTCATCGTAGCCGTACATTCATGTTCGTTCGATTGAGAGTACTATTCAAGTCCTCGATATTGATCAAAATCGGGACTCAAAATTTTTGCAAAATAACAGCCACATCAACTCACAAGGGGTGGCAAAAATGTGTGAAAAATTCAAATTTTTTTGGAAGGATCAAAATCATTTTGCAAATAAAAATAAACAGAGCCACAAGCTCAAACATCCACAGAAAAGCAGTGTAGCAACAATTTTAAACAGAACAACCCAAATATATATACAAAGCACGAACACAAATAGCACATAAAAGGTGGGCCCCATCACAAATAAAAGCAGTTGTCCTCAAATGCGAATAAAAGCACCCAACACTAAAAATAAGTAAGACAAATAGAGAGGTGAAAAAGTGATCCTGGTTATGTGGTTGTTCCATTTGTCAGGGTGGCATGGTTCTTCAGCGACTTTTCTGTGTAGACCTTCCACCATTTTAGGAGTAAAAAGACGGCGAGGTGGGGACGTTAAACGAGTCGTTGAGTAATTCAGCAAGCTCTCCACAGCATCGCTAAACAACCCAACACGCCTATTATCAAACCACTTTCTCGAATGCTTCACAACCATCTTGTTTCGGCTTTACTCAAGTGCCATCCAATTTTTGCGTACTCGGCGATATCAGTCTGAATTGCCAGATCAGTTGGTGTGTCATTGAGCATTTACTTGTTTCGCCGAGTTTTACAGAATCTTCTGTCATTGGGAATGTCCAAACGACAGTTTTCATCGTCATCGCCAAAATGGTTGACGATTCGCAAATAATCTCCAAATCTTGCCGAGTTCTACAGACTTCAGTGTTGACGAGGTCTTGAGTCAAATGACGGATAAGGTTGGATTTGCCAACCCCTTCGGCGACTTGCTGACACGATCTATTGTTTGCCATCCTTTACTTTTTCAAACACCTCGTGTACTTCCACCTGCACAAACAACATACCATTCTATTACCAGGAAATAAGTACTGATAATAATAAAAATAAAGCAATTAAAGGGAATTGGGGTTGCCTCCCAAACAACGCCTTAGTTAACGTCGCGGCACGACGCAACAACGCCTTTAGGCGTCTTCCAGATATACCACTTCGACCAACGAAATCTCTTGGCAATCCCCAGATACAATTTCAGACGTTGCCCGTTCACTGTAAATGGAGGTCCTTCATGATATTCAAATTCTATGGCACCATTGATTAACACTCGCGTTACTCTAAACGGTCCAGACTATTTGGATTTGAACTTTTCGGGGAAGAGTCTAAGTCGCGAGTTGTATAGCAAAATCCAATCTCCTACCTTGAAGTTCCGCTTGAGTATCCGAGCATCATGACATTTATTTATCTTCTCTTTATAGATGGCTGAACTTTCATATGATCTGATTCTTAATTCATCCAGTTCGTTCAACTGCTCTATTCTCTCCCTTGAAGTTTTTGACCAGTCCAAATTTAAAGCTTTCAATGCCCACAGTGCCTTGTGTTCTAACTCAACGGGCAAATGACAAGCCTTACCATAAACCAACTGATATGGAGACATACCGATAGGTGTTTTATATGCCCATAGTGCATCATCAAGTTTCCTAGACCAGTCAGTTCTATTGACATTTACTGTCTTTGCCAATATGCTTTTGATTTCCCGATTCAACACTTCGACTTGGCCACTTGTTTGGGGATAATATGGGGTTGCCACTTTGTGTTTCACCCCATATTTACTCAGTGCCATTGAGAACTACCTATTGCAAAAGTGGGATCCCCCATTGCTAATGATTGCTCTCGGAGTGCCAAATCTTGCGAAGATGTAGCATTTTAGAAATTGGACAATGCTTTTTCTTTCGTTGTTTGGATGTGCTATGGCTTCCACTCATTTGGAAACATAATCTACAGCCACTAAGATATATTTATTTCCAAACGAGCTCACAAATAGGCCCATGAAATTGATCCATCATACATCGAATAGGTCGGCTTCTAAAATAGGAGTGAGAGGTAATTCGTGTCTTCTAGACACTCCGCCTTGCCGCTGACATTTAGAGCATTTCTTTGCAAACTCATGTGCATCCTTGTAGAGTGACGATCATTAGTATCCACTCTGGAGAACTTTAGCGGCGGTGCGAACACCACCATGGTGACGTCCTATTAGAGATGTATGGCAAGCATGGAGAATTTCTACCGCTTCTTCTTCCGGAACACACCTTCTAATGACATGATCAACACACTCTTGGAACAAGTATGGTTCGTCCAAAAGTACTTTTTAACATCGAACAAGAATCTTTTCTGTTGGTAAAAGGTCAACTCATCCGGCATCAGCCCACACACAATGTAATTTGCAAAATCTGCATGCCATGGCGTATGCTTGAGGGATATTGCAAACACTCATTTATTGGGGAAAGAATCGTCTATGTCAACCTCATGCTCAACATTCACCCTTGCTTCCAGCCTTGATAAATGATTAACCACTTAATTTTCACATCCTTTTCGATCTTTTACCTCGAAATCAAATTCTTGTAATAGTAGTACCCACCTAATCAATCGTGGTTTTGCATCTTTCTTTGCCATCAAGTACCGGAGTGCAGCATGATCAGTGTGTACGATTACTTTGGTGCCTAGCAAATATGCCCTAAAATTTTCAAATGCATAGACTATTGCAATCAACTCTTGTTCGGTGACCGTGTAATTTTGCTGGGCACTATTTAGAGTCTTGCTTGTGTAGTAGAATGGGTGAAATAGTTTGTTGAACTTTTGCCCCAACACAACCCCCAGTGCCATATCGCTAGCATCACACATTAGCTCAAAAGATTCGGACCAATTAGGGCTGATGATAATCAGAGTGGATATTAGTTTCTCTTTCAAACACTGAAATGCAGCCACACAAGCATCATTAAAGTGGAATTTCACTTTCTTCTCTAAGAATTTTCATAATGGGAGTGCAATATTTGATAAGTCTTTAATGAACCTTCTGTAAAATCCTGCATGTCCCAACAAGCTGTGAATACCCTTTACTGAAATCGGCGGGGGTAATTTCTCAATGACCTCAATTTTTGCCTTGTCAACTTCCAGCCCCTTTTGGGACAGCTTAAGCCCAAGAACAATACATTCTTTTACCATAAAGTGACATTTCTCTCAATTCAAAACCAAATTCGTTTCCACGCATCTTTGGAATAACTGTCCTAAGTGAGTCAAGCACTCTTCGAATGTGTCACATACGACTGAGAAGTTGTCCATGAACACCTCCATAGTGTCTTCGACCATATCTGCAAAAATAGACAGCATGAAACGCTGAAATGTTGCTGGGGTATTACATAGCCCGAATGGCATCCTTTTGAATGCGAATGTTCCATAAGGGCAAGTAAAAGTGGTTTTCTCTTGATCTTCCGGTGAAATAGAGATTTGATTGTAACCGAGTACCCATCTAGAAAACAATACCACCCTCTTTCTGATAACCGATCAAGCATCTGATCCATAAAAGGCATTGGAAAATGATCTTTCTTGGTCCATGAGTTAAGCTTTCGGTAGTCCATGTATACTCTCCACCCAGTCACTGGTCTTGTTGGCACAAGTTCTCCTTTTTTATTTGGGACTACAGTTATACCCTATTTTTTTGGTACACATTGCACCAGAATTACCCACTTACTATCTGTAATAGGGTAGATCACTCCCGCATCTAGCCACTTGATGATCTCCTTTTTTACCACCTCTTACATTGGAGGGTTCAATCTCCGTTGATATTACACACTAGGTTTACATTCACTGTCGAGCCGAATCTTGTGAGTACAAATGATATGAGTAATTCCTACTATATCGGCTATTGTCCATCCAATAGCTTTTATGTGCTTCCATACTTCAATGAGCAATTTCACCTGATTTTCAAGCAGATTGGCGGCGATAATTACCGGCAAAGTATTATTGGCTCCTAAGAAGGCATATTTGAAATGAGAGGGTAGGGCTTTTAACTCTAAATTTGGTGGTTCTTCTGTCGATGGCTTTGCAGGGAGACTTTCTCTGTTTTTCAGGTCGATATCCAACTTGATTGGATTCCTTAAATATGCTCCTAATCCTGATAAAGCAGCTACCACTTCCTTGTACCCCTGAACTTCAGATTCATCATAATTGGCAAGTACAGATTCAAGGGGTTCATTCTTGCGCATTAAATGACTCATACTTGCCACTACCTCATCTATCACATCCTCAGTAGACACCACATGGATATTACTTGGTTGCTTCATGGATTTACAAATATTGAAGGTCATCTCATCATCGTTCACACAGAACTTCAATTTCCTTCTTTCAACATCCACCAATGCTCTCCCGGTAGCTAAGAATGGCCTTTCCAAAATAATGGGGATTTTAGAATCGATTTCACAATCTAGAATCACAAATCATCCGGAAAGATGAACCGATCCACTTTTACCAATATGTCATAGAGTATCCCCACTGGGTGCTTGATTGATTGATCAGCCATAAGGAGTCTCATTGTGGTTGCCTTTGGTTCACCCAAACCAAGTAGTTTGTTTATTGCATAGGGCATCAAGTTGATGCTTTCTCCTAAATCACACAAGGCTTTAGCGAATTGGAGCATGTCAATTGTGCAAGAGATTGTGAACTCCCCAGTATCTTCTCTCTTAGTGATTGAATCATTTGTCATAATTGCACTGCAACTATGAGGCACCTCAATCGTTTCATAGTCCAAGCTCATTTTCTTTGTAACAAGTTGTTTCATGAATTTGGCGTATCTCGGCATTTCCAACAATGCTTCTACCAGAGGAATGTTAATTGATAAGCTCTTGAATACTGACAATTTTTTTTGAACTTCTCATCTTCATTCTTCTTTTTCAAACGTTGGGGAAATGGTGGAGATATCTTGGGTAAAGGGTGCATGACTTTTGGAACTTGAACTTGTTGCTCTGCTTCCTCCTGTGGTTCTTTAGTATGGCTTTATCAAATAGGTAAATCTTGTTCCTCCACATCTTGGATCTCTTCATGATTTTGAGGATCCTTATCTTCCATCATATCCCCTATTACCACCTTACCGCTACGGGTAACTACAACCAGCTCTCTTTCAATATAGTCCATTGGTATTTTGGATGTTAATTGAGCTAATAATAGACTCAACTTACCTTCCAACATTTTGATGGGATCAGCATGGGAATTTACTTTACTGTTCAATAATGAAAAGTCATCTTTCATTCCTTTTAGCAAATCATCATACCCCTCAACTTTATTGAGTATGCGCGATAGCAAATCATTTATTCGAGGACTACTTGCACTCCTTTTAGATTTCGAGTTTCACTCAAGTGAGTATGGTCCTCATCCTGACCATCCTGCTCAGCCCAATCTTGTCAATATTTCCTTGGTTCTTCACCTCTATAATAGGTCCAATCTTGATTCCCGCCCCGCGGTTGATAGCGTGGGTGGAAACCTTCCTCGTATAATTTGGAGTTCCAACCTTGATTCTCCCCCGGTCTTGAGTAACCGGAAGAAGAACCCTGCTCAACTCGAAATACTCCATGTGTCCCTTTCATGTGCTCTTGTAGGATTTCCATTTGAGATAACATCTTCTTGATGT